TTTTTAGAATCAATTGAAAATATTACTTTAAGCAAGACTAAAAAGCTGTCATAGAAATACATTGTACTTTTATCAATGAGTAAGGTTTTCTTTAATTTGCAACTCGTATGAAATTATGTTATGTGATAAGAATGATATTTTAACTGTTATCAAGCACCAACTTTACACTAGTTTTAGTCAGTGGCTGATTTTCATTTCGTGTTTATTAATTTGGCCACTGTTTTGTACGTTCTTTTTCTTAATTTTTATTGAATCATTTGGTATCGTCTCCTTCCTTTGAAATAATGAATGTGTGGCAAAAATGTTATATCATAACAAAAAATATCATACTCAACTGATGAAAAGCAGGACGGACTAAACGATTTCATATTTCTATCTATTGTTTCATTTAAAATTCGACTTACCATATTTTTATCCAAACCAAGGTGCGACATTTGGAATACAACTGAGACTTCAAGGACCAAAATATACAAGAAGGAATGATATTATCACGTTTAACTGTTCAACGGATACTCCGTCTGTTGGATTAGAAGCTGAGATATTAGTCAATTCAAAAACATACACCAATATGAGAACTCATAACAACACATGTTTTTCTGCAGTACAGGGATTGGAGTGTGCGGAAGATGTTTGCCAGTGTTCAAAGAGTGGATATTGGTTTTTACACAAATACAATGTGAATGGAGATCATGAAGCAACTGATTGTTTGAAAGTAACTTGTGTAATGAAATTCGGAGCTGAAGGTGTTGATAAAATTTTTGACAGCATTATAGTTAATATAATAGGTATGTACTTGCATTTATACATGTTGTTCTGAAAGCTTACATATAAGATGATTCGTTTGTGCGAAATTTAAAATATAGAATAACACTAGACACTACCAGACAGACATGGACAATAAAATAAAACTCTCTAAATTTCTTGCATCCGAAGCGCTTTTCTTGATTTCCCTTCAAACATAAACTTTTGAAAATAAATTCATCATATTGATACCAGGTATTAAAATGTAAAACAGACTCGCGTGTTGTCTTAAGAAAACTCACCAGTAACGTGCGAATAAAAACAGGTAAAAAGGCCAAACAAAGTACGAAGTTGAAGACTATTGAGGACACAAAATGAAAGTCACGAATATAAAAATACATACATCACACCAGGAGTTTGGTGGTATTTTCTTAATAATTTATTCATTTATCAAGGAATAATGTAGAAATGTATGATATACATCATGCCGGCACCAAATCACTTCTGAGCTGATGGTGACCTCTAAGACTAACCGTATCGACCCAGTACAATTGAATACACATAACGCCTTATACATTTCGTTTGTCCGATGCGCTTTTAAGAATTTAACAACATTAGGAACGCATAAACTCTTTACATTTGAAAGCCAGGGATGACAAAATATTTTGACATATAAGGAGCTTTATCACCAAAAGGTACCCAAAAGAAACGTATTATAGGAAAATGCACCTATGTTCTAATTAGCCTAAGTGAATTAGACCCTTAGCTTCATTAAGTTTCTTAATTTATTCCCGTAGAATTCAGAAATGTGTTTTTTAAATCATGTCATTACCGAAACACCGACAACTGAGCTGATGATAACCATGTAGATTACCAGTGCGGCAGCAGAGGTATCGACAAACGCTCAAAAAATCAAATAATGATCATAACAAAAGAGTAAAACATAATAAAGTGTTTCACATCTTCATATCACGGGTATATCGGTGGCTTGTAATGGTCATTGGTTTGGATTTACCCACAAACTATTCAAGTTTCAAACGACTTCAGAAGTATATGCAGACACCCCCCCCCCCCCCCCCCCCCCCCCCCAAAGAAAAAGGAGCACAACAAAACATGTGAAGATAAGAAGTACAATTTTGAATAGATAATTTAGTTTACAGCAGAAAAGTTGACAAATATTGAACACTATTGCTCGAATGGTGCTTATCTCAGTTTTGTAAATGTTGTTTGATGCTGAACTATTAATTGAACTTGGAATGACAATCATTTAATATGTTAAAACTTAACATCTACATTTTGATCATTCAGATTTTTCAGGTCCTACATTAAATGTTGGTTCAACTCTAGTAGCTGGAACAACTGCACATGTGACATGTCAGGTTTTTACCAACTTAGCGAATGTCAATTTATTGTGGAACTGTGTTAACAATGGACGTGAAAATAAAACGAAAACGTCAAACAAATATTTGTCAACTCTGACGTTTAAAGTAAAACCGTTTCATCAAAATACAAATTGCACGTGCACTGGTAGTTTTGAAGAATTTCACGTTTCATCAGCTGTACAATTGGATGTTAACAGTAAGAATATTTAAAACAATACCCAATTCACCTAGCACATATAGCAAGTTTACAATACATTTTATTTTGAATTTACCTTAAAGGGATTATTTTGTTTATAATATGATACAACAGCCGGTTTTCAAGTTTATGAATTCGATGAATTTCTAATGTTTTTTTTTTGTGTCTCCCGCTTCTTTCCATTATAAACTTATGATCTTCCATTAACATAAGACTATCTTAAAAAGTATTGAAGTTATAAAATAGTGTACCTTAAGTATGCATTAAAAGTTTAATTTCTCCTCAATCAAGTAGAAGCTTTTGTTGAAACTACTTTGCGTCGTTAAAGTCCGTCGATTTACAGTTTAAATAAAGGCAACAATAGTATACCGCTGTTCAATAGTCATAAATCGATTAAGCGTAAAACAAATTCGAGTTACAAACTAAAACGGAGGGAAACACATCAAGTATAAAATATACTTTAAAATACCATCTTCATTTCCAGAAACATTTAAACCTATGCAAGCATAAACAATTATTTCAGAGCGTACTTCTTGTGACTGTGGATTAACTTTCACGCACGTGGCATGATGAAGATCGTATTAAAAACGCTAAATGTATACAGCGTTTGGAAATGTATGAACAAACTTCGCGTAACATGACAACATGACATGAAATGGTTGAAAGTAACTAACAAATTTAAAATTATTTACTAATTTATAATCATATAATACATAATCAGAATAAACCGTTTTGTCATCATCGAAGAACTAACTTCTCAGTGAATGACATGTTTGGAAAACGACACACCAAAACAGCGACACGAACGATATATTCTATGATTTTACAAGAAACTTGGGCCTTTGTTTGTTCCATAAATTATGTATTTAATATGAAAAATATATTTATTCAAGGAAAAATATACTTTTAAAGGGATAAAAATAAAATGCAAAGCATATCACAAATTTTGAAATAAGGTCCGATTTATAATTTGTGAGCTAGTCAAAAACGTACTCACACCATACAACAAAAAGTACACATAACAATTAAACGTGCACTCGAATTGAAAAAAGACAAAACAATGTTCGCGGAAATACAATTAATGGTTTTCATTCCAATTACATTGTACATTTTATCATTTGTTTTAGTAAACTTTCAATAAACAACAGCTAATGTTTTGAATATTAAGAAGATAAAGATTTTTGTTAGCTTCGATAAAAATACGTTTAAGCGTTTCAGACAAAAGGCATCATACCATTGCATATTCGTTCCTATTAAATCCACTTTTACCGTTAAATTTGATTTGCCACTTTATGCGTTTCACACGACTAGTACTGACGATACATTAATAGCAACATGACAAGTTTTATATCACATTTTTTTGCTTACCAATACAAATCAGTCAACACAGTTGTAACTAATCTTTTTTCAGATGCATCTATGTTTTCGTTCATTTTTAATAAGTTCCCCGTTAGACGTACATTGACTATATACATTCCCTGTTCAGTATGAAATGACGATTCTCTCCTTATTCTATTCCTTAATGCAAAACTATGTACATTCACTTGACAATGTATCTAACTTTCTATTCTGGTGATTGAAGTAGAAACAGTATTACTAAAACCCATATTTGTTTTAACTTAACAAACCTGTTTATAACATGTACTTGTTTCAGATAAGCCTATATTGAATTCAACAAAGAATGCCAGCTGTAATATGTCGTCATCAGTGCAACTGTTCTGTACACTGTTTAGTGAAGTGTCTTCATTTGGGTTCAATTCATGGACACATCTATTCAATGGTATAGCAGTACGTGTTCTACCTGGAGTAACATGCGGGAATATGTCAATTTTAAACATTTCAGGTTGTTCTTACCAGGATGCGGGAATATACATTTGTAGTGCATGGAACAAATTTAATGACAAAGTATACCATTCAAACAGTAGTACAACACTTACATTCAATGGTATGAACTTTCTTAATAAAAATATAATAATTGATATTTAATAAAAGTAATCCTAATTTAGCGTTGCATCGCTATCATAATAACAAATAACAAAATATAAAATCCATCTGCATGAAGCTTGTAACTTAAGGTAATTAATAGTTTGGACGAATGTTACATAACTTTGCCAAAAGTTTCATTTTAAAAAGAATGTTAATGTAATAGGTACAGATACTATGTTGCTCATTTCTTACAGCCTTTAATTATAAATGATCTTGCACTATGTCTGCCGCACGTATGTTTAATGATTGTTGTAAAACAATTGAACGATTTCCCAAAACTTGTTAGTTACTGATGCAGCACAAGTATAGGAAAATGTAACTATTGTAACTGCCATAGCAATGGTCATTCTTTGACTCCGTCTGGCCAGTTAAAGTTAATTAAGATTACATGTATAATTATTAACACTACGATTCCCGTCGTCATGCATGTTTCAGATTTGTAAAACCGATATACAACTTGCAATCGTTATATCGTTTTGTTTCTGTTTTTAAAGGTCCACCAATAATTTTGTCAGCGAAGATAGTTAGAGAAAATGTCGTTACAATAACAGTCATTTTCTATTCCACCAGTGATATTCAAAGACCAGTTTGGTTTTTAATGTCAGAACCGATATTTGATACAACGGGGGTCAATGCAACACTCGATAATACAACTCTGTCATTACCAGTGTACAACCGAGCAATAACATGTAAAGGTTACGTTGCGAATTTGTCTATGGGAATCTCCAGAAATATGAAATATACTGTACTTCTAAAAAACGAATTTGGAGATACAAGAAAAACCTTCGAATTGCATTCAGGTAAGCTACGCATTTATCTACATTGTGAAATCTATAATCATCCTATTCTTATAATCAGTTCTAATGTATTTTACATTAAAAGACAAAGAAATTAAAATACTTCATAAATTACCATGTCATAAAAAAAGAAAGAAAAAAATCTTAGTTAAGTGGTATGGATGTCTTCCGCCAGATTGGATTGTAAAATAGCAGAACAAAATATGTCTACTTTTTTAATATGGTCAGCAGATTTCGAAGCCTGAATGCAATCGGGATAATACAAATTTTCATTTGAATGAACTAATTTATGTAACTTTCAGTTATAATTACTCAAATTGTTACAAAAGTAGAATATTTTTGCTTGATAGTAATTTTTTCCTTACTTTGCATATTAAGGAGAGGTAACTCAGAAAAGTATAATTTATGAAGGAATCTTGAGGAGATTTTTCTATTTTATGTTACAGCATGAAAAAACGAACGGCCACCCCTTTTTTGTTTGATACCCTGAAAGCATTTTATTAGAGCTGATATTTTTTGGTTTAATTCTTTAATTTAGTTGATCTTCTATTCGCAGTATATTGCATTTTCTCTGTATAATCAAAATGTGCCATTTTTTCTCAACCTGTAGTTTGAATCATTTTTGCTATATTTTTGAACATATATACTACATTCTGGTTATTCAATATTTGTACATGCACATAACGAGTTTCCGATGTTAAAATTCTCAATAACGAGGGGGAGGGGGCAGTAGTTGAGTGATATTCATATCTTGATCAACAATAGCCACCAAATCAAGACAACAATCAGAATATGCGGTATTCAATGAGTTCTTATAGAAGTAAGAACCGGTGCACACGCAAAGTAGGCTATCGTACTATGGATGGATCACCCGCTATACTAAACTGTGAGTGAGTAAGGATGTTGTAATCTTTTTTATTTTAAAGGTGACAAATTGAAAACAAATTTTTATTTCAAGTGAAACATTTAACCTTTCTAACTTATAGGCTATACTTAACAATCTTATCAATTATAAGCGGACAATCAAAAACCGTTAGTGCAAGACAAATTGACAAAACCCAGGAAAATTTTATCCAGTCTTGGCTATAGTTTGGTCCTTTTCAGCTTTAACAGCTATCCATAGTTTAAATGCACGTCCGAATTTTTATATTTTGGCACCACTGAAAAGACATTAACTAATGCGTATATGTGACATTAAGTTTGGTGCCTTTAGATTTGATAACAGCGTTCAAACGACAGCCCCGGAAGACACGACACATGTGTCAAACATGAAACTCATGTATAAGTATATATTTGCAGATCTGATAGTATCATTTGACTTCCGATTTTGGATTTTTGGATTATCAATCTTTGGTGTATTTCTAGTGGCAACGACAATGACCATTGCAATTCTTAGAGGAAGACAGTATCAAAGTGAGTATGTCATGGTGACAAAATTGAACTAATATGTTTATTCTAAACACTTTTTGTAGATGTTTAAATTTTGGCATTGACCATGGTCATGTTTTAGCAAACTGCTTATGAAGTCTTAACGCTAAATTCGTCTGAGCTGTTATTACTAGTAAATTAATTTTAGTCTTAAATAGCCGCTTTGATCTGAAGATACCATGAAAATATTTTCAAAGTTTAAGTTATTAATTTGGATAGTTTCTTAAGTGTTAATTATAATCGAACAAATTTATATTGATAATAATTTATTGTTTGGTCTTTTTAGACCTGTTGAATCATGCAAATGTCCCAATAATTTCAAACATAATTTTCTCGTTAATCATTTACGCGTTACTTATTATTTGAAATTGGGCGTTGAACTTATAGTAACCGCGAGGAGTCTTATATACTGGTTCTTTGTGTCTTTTATCTTGACTCGTTCTTTTGCGAAGAACTGATTTCAGGAGATAATAGAAAAATAAAAAGATGTCGTATGACTGACGACAACTATCTACATGAGACCACATGACGCTAAAACCTAAATAATTGAAAATCATGGATGAGAATATACGTACAAACGTTAGGACCTATAAGACCAAAATGATACTCGAATTAACACATAAGCAAATGCACAACTAGGTCAAACATCAAAATATAATACAGACAAATATTAGAATGATCAATAAGTAATGTCAATGGCATCCATCGCATGATTCAATGCATCAAAATCAAAATGTAGATATGCATATGCGCATTAAAAATTCCTGTTTTCAATTCGGCAGATTATTTTGCAAATATCAAAACTAAATTCTCTTTGTCTCTTTAAAAGTCATAGATTGGAGGACTAACCGTCTATCTCAAGAAAAGTTGGCCAGTTGATATTTCCCACAAGTACACAATGGTATAACCAATTCGAATTGATAAACCATCAGTGTATTTCGAACAAAAATGTACACTCGTAGTGGCCTTTTTCCTTGAAATATATTTTGTTTAATTATGAGCGTTTATGGTGCCGAGTTAAACGTATATGGTTTATTGCAAAAACACTTCTTTCTGCCTGGTTTATACTTTGTGTGATATATATATAACTTGGTGTAACATTCATCCGTGACCACAATGAACATACTTTTGGAAAAAAATCATAACAAATTTCAGTTTGTTAATTGTGTCACCTATTGAAAAAAAACCAACTGTAAAACGCAATATAGAAGTCCAAAAGCTTTTGTTTTTATGTCAACACAATTGTTTAAAAATATGTTTTTATATTTATAGTACAGTCGTTACATTTTCGCCTTTTAAATTTCTTTCATCTAACAGGTGTTGTTCATATTGTTGGTCCACTAGAACGATCACCAACTATTCCTATGCAAGTATCTTGATTAATTTGTATTACACATAGTCATAGAAGTTAATGTAACAGAAAAGTGAACAATTTGATAGCAAATCGAAAGGCCCGAAGTTTCTTAATTTGCAATTCGAAATTTGAATTTTTAAGTTTTTTAAGTTTTAAACTCGAAATTCGGAAAAATATACCTAAGTTAGAAGTGTCAAAATTCAAAAATAAAAAGACTGTTATGCTGGGTGCCTAAAATTTTCTGTTTTGTTTTTTAAACTGGCGGAGTCTTAGTGAAAGAAAGAGACGAAAGATACCAAAACATTCAAACTCGTAATTGAAAAATAAACTGACAACGCCATGAATAAAAAGAAAAAAAAGACCTTATGAGAAATAACAGTATTACGAAACACTACATAGAACACTAAAGACTGTGCAACACTAACCGCAACAAATACAGGGGTGATCTCGTATGCTTCTTGAAAGGTAATCAGATCTTTCTGCTTGTGTTGCTCATGAAATCATTGCAATACAAATTATCCTTTCAATCTTAGAGCGGTACTTACGTATTACACAAAAAGAAAAAATGAAAACGTTGATAATACGAAATAAAGATATCACTACAAAATATCTTTAAAACACCACTTTAATGTTACAAAATACACAGTTAAAATATAAAAGATTGTCTACATTAAATTCCATGTTATTTAATTTATATCAAAATAAGGAGATGAGCCATGATTAGTCGGGATGCTATCCAATTTAGACAAAATGACGTAGTTGTTAGCAACTATAGGCCAACGTACGAAATTCATCAATGAGCAAAACCCAAACCGCATAAAAAGCCCCGACATAACAAAACGTTAAAAAACTCAAACAAGAAAATCAATGGCTTGATTTATGAACTAAAAAACAAAACGAAAAAGAAAAGTAATTTACAGCAAAAAAAAAGAAAAAATGACAACTATTGAAATACGGGATCCCAAATTGGGACAGACACATGTAATATGTCGTGGGGTTAAAAAGTTTGCGGGCGCCGAACCCTCATGTCACGAGTTGCATCTTAAAATTGTTGTAAGAAAAATTATAAGGTCTGAAATAGGAATATTAATACAACACAAACTGATTGCATTCTGAATCCATTATATAATTCTATGAAAACGTATTTTTCTATTCATTATATCAATACTTTCAGTTATCATTCAGCCCCAGAATCACTGGATGACGACCATGTATATGAAAGAACGAATCCCCAATATTTAGAGCTATTGGAAATTCCACAGGAACGTCATTATTCTGATATAAAGGAAGAAGAGGATGAACTTCAACTGAGTCGGAATGATGATGGGGATGATTATGAAGAAATCCATTGACAAAAAGAAATACATTTGTGACATTTATAATAATTGACCCGTTTATTTGCAGTTATTATGATTATTTGATTATATACACATATATAAAAATGTCTTATTTTTTATTTATCAAATAAGTTTTCAAATTACAACTTCTCTAACAGAGTATTATCACTTTTATTTCCACTTTATTAATGCAAGTTAATTTTCAGGTATTTCAAATAAGGCTGAAATAGCGTCATGCATTTGATATTAATGCTGTCGCGTGAGAGACCAAAATTATCATTATGAGCGAATCGAAATATGAGAAATTTAACATGGTTTCAAAAGAAGGAGGATTTGATATTTGAACATCATAATCATCAAACTTTATTCGCAATTTACAGAGCATTGTTAAGTACATCAATTTGAGTAGAGTGATGCTGGTTGGTGTACCTTTTATTCTGTCTAAAAGTTTTTTAATTGTTTTTGATATATTAAAGGAAAATGAAAGATATACGGATATTGGTTAGTTGAGATGTCCAGAAACAATTTTGCTGCACCGTTATGTCCCTTTGGTGATGCTCGAGGCCGAATAATTTGAAAATAAAAAAATCATTTGAAATTGTTGTGCTGATACAAAAAGGGGAAAAAGCATAGTCAAAGCTGGACAAGGAACCTGAGCTTTGCATCAGGGTGATGTATTCCTCAATTTGAAATAATTTCCCTCATATTTTTAACTACAAATTTCAATAACACATTATCCGAAGTTTCATTTTGGTACCGCAGTACTGGCAACTGGGTTGGTGACACCCTCGGGGACTTACAGTTTACCAGAAGAGGTATTCATCCAGTGGCAGTGATAGCATTAACGGCACCACTTTTACTGCATCAGATGCGTATTTCGACAA